TTCAAATATTAATTTATAATTGATTTAAATCTAAGCATATTACTGTGTGCTCGTTTGTCACCCTATCCTATAAAAAAAAAAATTCTTTAAGAGTAGTGTGACCACGTTCTAATGCACCATTCGTTTGGGGGTGGTATGGACTCGAGAGGATATATTTATATATTTTTTGAAAAACAATTAAAGAACAAAACACGGTAATTCTTACTCTACAAAACATAAAGATTTAGGAATCTCTTCATCAGTCTTATAATTTTATATGTAAACTTTTTAAAGTCAACTTTTTGTAATCTATATAATATAAAAATCTAAGTTAACATACATTTTTATTTATTTTGGTCTCAAAAGCACTTAGAAGAGGCGCTAGAATTGTGCTGTCCATATATGAGATTACTGTAGTTGTCGCACATTTACATAATATATATATTAATATTAATTGAAGAAATTGAGTTAATTGAATGTCGCATCAAAAATGAATGTCAAGAGGGGCCAAGGTCCGTAAAAACTATTTTCGAGGTTGTCGAATACGCTGATAAAAAGTACAGATCTGAATGAGTGCCAAGTTCAGTAGCAGTTCCTTAAATCATTCCTATAGCTATTTCTATATGTTCTTGAATGAAAATTAATTACGTTCTTAGATAATCTGTTTGTAACTTTTCGAGTTTTGTTTTATAATAATAATAATGTAATTTTATGATAACTCAGCATAAAATACGAGTATATTAATTCCTCGATTAAAAATCTTTTCTTATATAAAGAATAAGGTTGCCGAGCACATTGTCAAACTGTGACCTATCATCAATTAAGATCAAAGCACTAGAAGACTTGTTACCAGTAAAATGCGTCCCCAGTTCTCTACGCACTATACGAAACACTATTCTATACAATATTCTGTAAGAGCGTAGTCTGTCCGCGGTCAAACCGACATATTCGCGCTGCATCTATGTATTGCTAGTATAGCTGCAGCGTGGCTCTATAACGTAAAAGATGCAGTGACAAAATGTCAACTGAGACCATAGGTATTGACAATTGTCACCTCTCATGTGATTCCTTTTATTGCTAAGTAAGTAAATTCAAGGCTGTAATATTAGGACGGAAGCGCACTCCATTACTCCAACTCATCTTATTTAATTGTTTAGAATATCTTGTTTAAAATCTCGTATAGATTAAACCAAATGTAAAATAACCAGACCAGTACAACAAGAGAAAGCAATTTTGAAATTGCGAGATATCAGCGACCGCAAAACTACATACCGGATAAACGGCTAAATATTGAACTGGCTTGCATTGTGCGCTATAATATGTTTATTTTTGAAAATACATCTGATTATTATTTCAGATCAACTTTTCAAATAGCTACAATATATTTAAGTGTATAAAATATTACTACAGAAATTAATTTCCTTGTACAGAAAAAAATAAACATGAAGTATAAGAAGACTTTTCTTCAAGCATGTTGACGTAAAAAGTAAAAGTCTGGTGATCACGTATTTGTTTGTATTTGATTGACATGAAAGGATTGTATCAAGATTAAATCTTGGAGGTTAAATTGACCTCCAGTCGATTACTTTCACGTTTATAAATGAAGCAAACGTCGGTTTGGAGGATGGAATGGATTCAATTTAAACATTTCATTTTATCGACAAGTTAATTGATTTATAAAATAAAAGTTAAAAGTTTTTTGCCTTTATGAATTCTTAAAGCAGGTATATAAATTCAAGAAATTAATAAATTAATTTAAAAAGCCTCGTGCAAGGATTGGTATCTAGCTCACTTTACTATAGAAATGCTAAATTACATCTTAAAATATTCTATTATTTCAATATACTAAACATTCCATTGGAATTTTTAGATGTAGAAGTGGGAGCATTATCAAAGGCACTGAAATGTGACTCTGCGATCAATCGCCAATGTACCTGCTCATTGTGGGATTACAAAAAATTCTTAATTCCTTTACTATTTCAGTAATTACTAGATAATAAAAAAATTAAAACCTATGAAATTCAACTGCAATAAATTCCATGCGAGCTAAGTCGCGGGGAACAGCTAGTAAGTAAATAAAAACCTAACCAGATGTAAGCCTTCAGCAGGGGAGGCTAAACGGCCGAGCGTTATGGGGAAAGGGAAAGAAACCGGAGTACGATGTAGGCCGAGGAGCACCGTCTTTTGTATTTGAGCCCTGGGCGGTCCATCACGGAGTCCCAATCGCCTTAGATGACCCAAGAGGCTAAACGGGATTAGCCCGTTCGCAGAAAAGACTACACGTATAATTTCGGTCAGCAGAACACCCCACATGTCGTTCACCTCGTGAGCCAGGTCCAGATACTTTGATCGCTTTTCTGTTACGGCTTTCAAGAGGTACTCGTCATACGGAATGGTAATTTCGACCAAAAATATCCTTGACTGTGCCCGGTCCATCATTACAATATCAGAATTATTCGCAAGAATTACCCTGTCTGTTATGATAGGCCTGTCCCAGTAGAGCCTGGTGCGGTCATTTTCGAGCACAGCTTCTGGTAAGTACTTATAATAAGGCAATCTCCGAATCATGAAACCGTATTTCAGAGCAAACTCCTTGTGTAGAATCCTAGCTAGAAGGTTGTCTCTATGCAAGTACTAAGAGGTAGAAAGCGCCGAATAACCGGAGATGACATGCCTAAGTGATCCACCGTGATGGCGACAACTCGACAGATATCGAGTCTATACATTAGGATGTAACTCCGTTAGTTGTTGGTCTTAATAAACTGATCTTATTTTGCACAGACAAAAACCCTCGGTTTCCCCGAAAACGTCGCTAAAACGTGGCCAGTGAAAGGAGGCAATTATGTCTACAAAAGGCTCATGTAAAGCCTTGTCCAACCTACCGTGGAGCTCCATCTCCTTCCATACGATCTCACAGTCGGAAATGCTCTATACTGTCGGGTCCTGCCATTGCTTGTTGGCTAAGGATAGAGGGCTAAGCCCTTTTTCACACAAAATTACGTCCTTGTAAAATGGATCACCCGATCTCGCCAGGAAGTAATTATGTAAAATTTATACATGAGAACGGGCATTATCCAACAGTTACATGCATCTGCCTCATTCACGCCCGAAAAGAGGCTGTTAAGCACTTTTATCAAGTGGGCATAAAACACATCCTCGATACCTATTGATACCTATATTCTGTGCCATACCCTGGTGTTGGTATGTTTAAGCCTCGGAAAGGGTCCTTATGTTGATGGGCATAGATAAGTATATGCCCTCAGAGTTAGCAACCCTACCCCTTTCGACATGTAGGACCGCACACTTATCCGTCCATTCTATTCCATATTATATATGTCCATTCTACATTATATATATCATTCTAGAATTGATAAGCTTATCGGTGATGTTTAGCAATTCTATGAGATGGAAGGGACTGGAGGCAAATAACTACATATATAAAAGGTGGGTCACTTTTGTCCTCCCTCCCGAAGCTGAAATTTCCTCCTAGAGTCCTCCAGTAAAGTACTGAGAGGATTCAGAGAGAAGCAGAACCAGATTGGACAATCACCCTGGATAATTCTTATACTTATATGTTCTCTGCGGCCGTAATCCCTGGACTTTTCCTGGTCAACGTAGCTGATGCGGTAATAATAAATATAATCATCAAAAGATGATTATATTTGTAATATTGTATTTGTAACGAAAAAAGAAAAAGAAATTATAAAATAAGATATTTAAAATCCACAGCAACTTACGCTTTTATAAATTATAAAATGTATTTAAAATCATTAACTTGCAGTCGCAAAAGAAAGTTTTTTTATAATGCCGTATACTGCAATTATTCGAGTAAAAGGTTCATTAATTAATGGGTACAGTTATGTCGTTAGTGTAAGCCTTTTTACCGCTTTAGAATGCAACTAAGCGGAATTACTTCTCCATTGAAAAGGGTCCACTTCGGAAACTAATCTCCACCATAAAGGAGTCAATCTTTTTTTGGGCCCACTAGAAATTTTAACGACCCTCAATGACATTACACAAAAATATATACCAATTTATTATTTTAAATAGCATAAAGATTATATGAAAATCTAAACAGAATCAAGAAATCTTAAAAAAAATAATTGCTTTGATATTTATGTTCAGTTCATTGGTACTGATAATGTAATATTAAAAAAATTGTAGTAGAGATGTGCCAACTCGAAAGAAACTCGACTCGAGTAAACTAGAGTTGAAATTAACATAACTCTAATAGTACGAATTGGGGGAACAAAGCTGTGTCAGTTTGTTACAAATTATTATTTATTTTGTTCTTCCATCCAACACAATAATTATTACTAAACTTAATAGGTAGTTATATATTTTTGGTTTGCGTATAGAAAATCTTCATTAAATAATATCACTCTAAATTTATGACATTTATACTTAATTAGTTTTCTTCATATATCAATAAATTTCTCGAATTAGTAAAAGTTTCAGCCTAAATACGTCCCACTGCTGGGCATAGGCCTCCCATCAGTTTTGAGAGGGTTTTAAGGCAAGGCAGTTAGCGCCGCGCTGCCCCAATGCGTGTTGGCGAACTTCACATGTCTTCAAAATATTTTTTTTCTTATTCCTCAGACATGCAGGTTTCCTCACGATGTTTTCCTTCACCGCAGAGCATGTGGTAAATCAGCACTTAAAATTGCAATTAACAATTTCTTTGGTGCCGGCGGAGATCGAACCCGATTTGCTCGTGTACTGTGAAATTTACAGCGAGCTGTTATACGGGGCTTAACGAAATCTCTTTTAAAAAAACTATTCAGAAATTACAACTGGATTTTGTTATAGAATGACACGAATTAGGAATTGAAATTGAGAGGCGAGTATTTCGGATGAGAGTGTATGACTGACTGCCGTACTGCTAGTGTTTAAAAATGGAATAGTACCGAAGCTACTAAGAGAGTGCTGACTGTGTGCTTTGTGTCAGCGGATCCCTATTAAAAGGGGATCTATAACAACCCCCCCGTTGAGAGGAAACTCACCCTTGAGTGAGTTTACGGCTACTCTATGCGTAGCTGTGGTTGATCAGTGTGATGATGATTTTCTGTATTTTCTTTGTTAAAATTAAAATGGTCTCTGAAAGACTTTCCTCTCTTACAAATTATATAGGTTATAATAGATATGCAAAGTATTACAGATATAAGACTTATTATAGAGAAACTAACATTATACAAATTTGGACTTTCTAGGGTGTCTAGTCGTTTGACAATCTGATCGGAATCAGTGTTGTAAGATTTTAAATTTTCTAAGTTCATAGTTTTTACATTTATAGAAGACGTAAGGTTAAATGAAAATTTGTTAAGGTTACTTAACTTACAACAACTATCGTTAATTATATTAAAATCCGAATATATTCCGGGGACACTTATACTAGGGTAGAGCTTAATTTCTAATTTCAGATTCTTATGGAAAGCTACGCAATCAGGTGGAATTGTGAGTAGGCCTGTCCCGGATAGAGTGTATTCGGTTAAATTGTTACTACACTCTACTGATAACTTAGTGGGTTTGGTTTGAACAAAAATCCATTTGTTGTTGTATAGTTTATGCCATATATCCAGATCACCGGAAATTAGTCTAAATGGACAGTTATCTGGGATTGATATCAAGGCTTTCGTCATAATTTCTATTTCACAGGGTATATTATTGGATATTGTAGCTACATCTACAACATCACAAAGGTAGGTATTTGTCGGGATGTTTTTATAATTATTTAACTCTTGTAGATAAACATAACTTGTTTTATCTTTGCTTAGCGCTACAAACTTTTCAGAAGGGATGATCATGGCAAAAGAGTTTGTTCTATCTTGAGCATGTGGAGTTGGTAAAGGTAAGTTCTTATACATATTATATTTTAACAAACTAACTAAAGGTAGTTTTATGATAAAAATAAGCTTATTGTCTAAATAATAACATACTAAATCGGAAATGTCAATTAAAGTATGAATGTTGCTTAATTCTAGAGATATTGGAAAATCTTTATATTTTGGCATAATTCTTAGATTACTAATTATATCATTATACATTTGAGTTGGGCTTAATACAGATGGATGTAAGGTGTTGGTTATTACAAATAAAATTGAGTTTAACAGATCTTCGACTTTGAATGACATCGTAAGTAAATTAGATAGCAAGGTATTTAAAACATTGGATAGTTTCGTTTGAAAACTGAGTACATTCAACATCTCAGATGCATTTTTAACAGTAGAAGATAAGAGTTCAATGACACTATTTAACTTTATTTGATTGTCATTTAATTCCTCCAGGGATTTATTAACACTAGAAATAGCGGATTTTGAGACTAAGATGTGCTTTTTGGTAGACTCTGCTAGTTTATTTTCGTTATTAAATAGAGCATGAATAGCTTTATTGTAGTTTTCAGCGTCATTTTCATCCAGTGTGCCGAAAATGTGTTTAAATACCGTGCCAATACCTGAGAACCAGGCAGATCTCTTGGACATACCGTTTAAGATAATATGGGAAATCGCATTAAAATCTCTTAAGATGTCGTTGTAAAGTGCTTCTAGGGGTTGTAACATATTTTCACACTGAGTATAATCTATGTCGGCACTCTCATGGCACTGAAATCGGATTATTTTAAATACTTCATGAATGTTTTCCAAATGGTGTTGGATTGGATGTACGTCTACCGGAATAACGATGTGAAATTGATCATTAATTATCCTCAATGTACCAACAGGGTCGAAGAATATACCAGGGCTCTTGTCGATGCGTTCAATATATTGACCATTGCCGGTTGCAATAATAATAGCGCAAAATGCGGTGGCGGTTCTGTAAATAATAATAATTAAGGGCTTACTATGTTTGAATTGTATAATAACGCGTATATAATGTAAAAGAAAAAGTATATAAATGAATTGTGAGTGTTAAAGTGTATGTCCTAAAATGAGTGTAATTTTGATATTTAAGAACTTATGTCATGTGCGTGTTTCACTTCATCGAAGTGGTGTTTAACATGGCGTCTGTTAATGAGTAGAGTAAGGGTATTATTACTGTGGACCTTGACAACTTTGAAGGCCCCCTCCAAATGGGGGAGAGGGCTTTGCGAAGACGAAGATGATTTTTAATGTAGACGTAATCTCCTATTTTATATTTGACCATGCGAGAGTTTCTGTCGTAGTATGTTTTAGACTTTTCTTTTGAAATTTGTATATTTTGTTGAGCTTTCTCTCGAGAAATCTTTAATCGATGCTGAAGCATTTTAATGTAATCAGGATAGGTAACGTTACTTTTTGATTCGAAAATAGCATCGGAAATATACGGCTTATGACCAAAAAGAAGTTCGTAAGGGGTAAACTGAGTTGTTGTATGGACGTTACTGTTGTAGGCAAACATCACCATATAGACGTATTTGTGCCAATCGGTTTGGTTTTCGTTCACGAAGGACTTAAGGTATTCTTTCAAAGTGGCATGGCTCCTTTCGAGAGCACCTTGAGTCTGGGGATGATACGGAGAGGACCATATCTGTCTTATTTTAGTTTGAAAAGGTCAGCCGTAAAATTTGTTCCTTGATCGGTAATTATGGATTTAGGGATCCCAAATTGTGAAATGAAGTGAACTAGAGCTTCGCATGTTTCTTCTGCGGTAACGTTGGAAATTGGATAGGCTGTAGAAAATTTGGTTAGATAATCTTGGAGGGTGAGTATAAATCGGAGTTTGTGAAAACCCGCTTCGGGTAAGGGGCCTACTATGTCTAGGCTTATTTTCTCAAATGGGCGAGTAGAAGTGGTTGTGATTTGCATAGGAGACCGGTTAATCTTGCGTAACGGTTTATTTGTTTGGCAAAGTTTGCAATTTTGGGTATATCTCTCTATATCTGCGCGCATGTTTTTCCAATAATAACATTCTTTAATTCTATTATACATTTTATTTGATCCTAAGTGACCGGCTATTGGTATATTGTGATTTTCTTTTAGAATTTTCGATATATCTGTCGGTACAGGGTATATTACGGAGTTGTGATATATATTTATTGTTATATTTGTATTGTTATATAAATACATAAGCATGCCGTATATTTTGACAAACGAATGTTGTTCAAACAGATTCTTAAAATCAGAAACTGCGATTTCACTAATATTACCTGAAAGTATAATGTCGTCCCTGGCGGCTTTTAAGGTTTTGAAGATTTCGGGATAGGAGCAGTCATCAAAATAATATACTTTTGTGAAGAGAAGATAATAAGTTTTGCCCTTTGACTTTATCTTATTAAATGAGTGAAGTTCTCGTTCTTTGTTTAAGACCTTTGTGTCACTTAAACCGGAAAGAATATCCTCAAGGTAGTGATTTGATTCGTCAAAATCGATAGATACGGGAACTAGGATTGTTTCGCAGTTGCTTTTTAAAAGACTCTCATTATATTCTTTTATATTTATTAGAGTATTAAATGTCTCATCCCTTTTAGAAAATGTTTTAAGGAGTGTAGAGTAATCGTCGTTGCAATGGGCCAGGTTGTTTTCAGAGTCTTTGTTTGATTCGTTACAGGAATTTTGTGGGGATTTTGTGTCTAATGGAATTGAATCAGTGTGTTCGTGATTCAACAGTTCTGATGGACTGAGGTTCAAGTCAAAGAAGGAAGTTCGGGATCTTGAGTAGTTTGAGGTTCTTCGTGGGAGGTGGAAGGTTGTGGATCTGAGATAGTATCATTTTGTACAATCGGATTAACAGGGAAACGGGATAATGCGTCCGCGTTACTGTTAATCTTGCTCTTTTCGTATTCGACCTCGTAGTCGAAGTCTTCTAATTTTAGCCTCCACCTTACTAGTTTTGACCCCGAGTCTTTGTTGTTAAATAACCACTTAAGTGGGCGGTGGTCGGTAATAATTTTGAAACGACGGCCATATAGGTATGGCCTAAATACTTTAGTATTGAAATGAATTGCTAAGCATTCCTTTTCTGTTATACTGTAGTTACACTCGGCTTTATTAAAAGTTCTTGAAGCATAAGCGACAGGTCTATCATTCCCTATGGGACCTTGTGATAATATGGCCGAAATAGCAAAGTTTGATGCATCACAAGTCAACACGAAAGGCTTTGTGAAGTCTGGGTAGGCTAATATTGGAGCAGTAGTCAAACAATTTTTTAGAGTTTCGAAAGCTAGTTGTTGCTCATTTCGCCAATCGAATGGAACATTTTTTTAGAAGGTTTGTAAGAGGTTTTGCAATTTTGGATAAATTTGGTATAAATCTTTGATAGTATGACACTAATCCCATAAAAGATTTGATGTCCTTTGGACATCGAGGTTGGGGAAATTGTTGAACTGCTTTGGTTTTCTTTGGATTTGGCTTTACCCCCTCGTTGGTAATGATATCACCAAGATATGATACTTCCTTTCGGAGAAATTCGCATTTATCTGGTTGAAGCTTAAGATTGAAGTGTCGGAGTCTGTCAAAGACCTTGGAAAGATTATTGTATGTGTTTGAAGATCATATGAGTAAATAACGATATCATCTAGGTAGACGAAGCACTGGAGTTCTTGTAGGCCAGATAGGGTGGTGTTCATCAATCTCTGGAATGTTGAAGGGGCGTTCATTAGCCCAAAAGGCATTCTTGTAAATTAAAAGTGTCCTTGCGGGGCGGAGAAGGTAGTTTTAGGAGCGTCCTTTTCTGGCGACATTCTTATCTGGTGGAAACCGGAAGCCAGATCTAAGGTGCTAAAGTATTTACATTTCCCTAACTGATCAAGAATTTCTGTTATGTTGGGTATCAGATAGGAATCTCCTATAGTGATGTCGTTTAGACGGCGGTAATCTATGACTGCGCGCCATTTACGTTGCCCGGATGCATCGATTTTCTTTGGAACTATCCAGATTGGTGATGACCAGGGTGATGTCGAGGGTTTGATGATGCCATCGTCAAGCATTTTATTTATTTGGCGTTCTGCTTCTGGTTTATGAATGTCAGGGAACCGATAAGACTTAGTGTTAATTGGTATGGAAGACTAAGTAGGAATTTCGTGTTGCAAGACGTTTATGTTAGTTAATTTATCGCCAGGCAGATGAAAGATATCGGAGTAAGTACAGCAAAGATCGCATAGTGCTCCTTGCTCTTCTTTGTTTAGGTGTGACAATCTTAAGAGATTTAGAGTTTGATCGGTGCGAGTAAGAACGTTATTTTGTGAATCGTTTGAACGAGTATGAAAGATTTGATGATTATATTTATTTTCCAATGATTGTAGCGTTAGTTTTAGATCGGAATCGACGATTAATTCGCTTTCGGAGGTATTTACTACTGAGATATTAATTCTTGAATTTGATTTCACTTTTACGATGCAGTTAGCTATTAGGAGCGAGTCTACGGGGTTCTGATCGAGAACAAGTCCTTCTTTAATGTCGGGATTCCTTACAGAACACTCTATGATAGTTTCACATCGAGGTGCAATAGTATAGACTGGCTTAGTGAAACAAAGCTCTATTTAATTTTTATTTACTTTTAAGGTGTATGATAACACATAATTAATTTTGCAATTTAATTTGATAAGGAAGTCACTACCGATTATTCCATCATACGGCAAGTCAAAAACTGGAAATACATAGAAATTATGTTGGTAGGAACAAAATTCAATTGGGATGTGACCAAGGGATGTAACAGAGCTGTTTCCTATACCGGTAATTTCTATAGTATTGTTGTTTATTTCAGGCATCTTTTCTACAGCAGAATCTTTAATAATACTGATAGCTGCGCCAGTATCCACCAGCAAGGATAAGGATTTCGACGAGACAGAAGTTTGAACTTTTATAAAAGGTAAGTATTTTTTTGATGGATTTGTAGAGATGTTATATATTTTAATATTGTTTTCTTTCTTTTCAGATGCAGGAGACGAAATACTCTTCGATATGACGCCGTTATTAGGCTGTTTGGTAATTGAAATTGAATTGTTAATTTTCAATCTGTCGGTTTGGGGCTGGATACTCTGTCGGTTAGATTGAGTTAGAACGGGAATAGAAAATGAGTGAAATGCTGTGTTATGATTGGCAATGGGGTAAGTATCGGCTTCGCTGTTTAGTCATCCCGTGCGATACTGGACGGGAAATCCTCCGCGTTTAAATGATGGTTGGTGTTATCGACGTTTTGATCGTCTGCAATAGCAGCGTTGATATGCTGACTACGATTTGGGAAAATGTGAGGCGGTAGACCATTATTACTGTAGTTATTGCGATTAACATTATTATTACTATAATTGTTTTGACCGTAACCAGATCGTCGGCGATTATTAGCTTCGCGTTTGCGGCATATTTCTAATGTATGACCGGGTATTTTACAATATCGGCACACTGGGTAATCAGTTCTGAACATGGAGGAAGACCCGGCTGAATTATTAAAAGGCCTCTCTCGCGTGGTTGTTTGGTTTTGTTGAAAATTACGACTGGTAAAGCGTCTTTGTTTTGAATCCTGGGTATTTGTTTGACTAAGCTGGCGTCGAGTCACCTGGAATATTTTTTCTTCAGACACGGCAAAATTAATAGCATCATTAAGCGTATCGGGATCGCGGCATCGAACTACTGTTGATAGACGAGGATTTAAGCCAACCACGAAAGTGTGTAACGCTAAGTCTTGCATTGTTGCGAGACGGCCTGCCAGTTCTCCCTTTTTCTTTGTAGGTATTGATATATTTATTTCCGTTAACAATTTAGACAAACACGTCTCTATTCGCAGGGCGTACTGGTTGACCGTTTCGTTATTGGATTGACGACATTCTTGTAGGTCTGAGAGCAGTCCAGCGTAATGTCTTCTGTCACAGAATTGGGATTTAAGAAAGTCTTCTAACTGTGACCAAGATTCGAATATTTTAATCGAGCAAGCACTTTCAGCGCGTCCTTCTAATTGACTAAGTATGTATTTTAAAAGGATATCCCGTTGTTGATCTGACGCGAGGTTCATAGCATTACTACAGTTATTAATAAATGGCATTAATTTTTCTCGGTTGCCGTCAAACTTACTTATAAATTTACAAAGAATATTGAGATCGATGCTTGGTGTCGAAATAACCGGTGTAGGTTCGTCTTTAGGCATTGTGACGGACGAGGATTAGTCAAAACAAAGATAAGGTACTCTGCGTTTCGCGTGGGAGTAGTAGCGATAAGGCGTTGCACTGGTCTCGAATACAAGCAATGGCACACGATTAAAATATAATTTTGACACTTGATATACAATGAATTATGTTAAAATGAATGCATGCAGTAATTGAAATATGAGTTAATTTTGTAATTATTATTTATTATTATTTTTTCCTTTTTTATTTGACTGTTTAAATAAATTAGATTATATATTTTGTAAAGTTTATAAATATTCAGTATTATTCACAACATTTAAGACTGTACCTTTACAATATTCGTATAAAACTGGAGCGGACTTACAGGAACATGTCAGGTTTATGTACTTGTATTTTTGATCAGGATTCAGGAACAGGGCAACAGCGTAGAAAACAGCGGAAGTGTGCCGCGCTGCTGACTTTGTAGGCTCGGTTTGCGGATGATGAGCAGATGCTGGGTGGTATTCCTCTTCCACTCTTCTTTCTTCTTTTTCTTTTTTTTTTCAACTGTATGACTTCTAGCATAAATTTTCATGCGACCAGGCGGGTATCGTTTTCGGAAGTTCAGCGAACAAACGAGTTTTAAGCGGTAAGTATTTATAGAGATCACAACACAGAATGTTCTAGTAATTGCACAATTGAGTCCTCAGAGGCACCAAGGACCTTTTATAGATCCCTTCACCGTTGCCACCAATGTTATACGGGGTTAACGAAATGTCTTTTAAAAAAAAACTATTCAGAAATTACAACTGGATTTTATTATAGAATGACACAAATTAGGAATTGAAATTGAGAGGCGAGTATTTCGGATGAGAGTGTATGACTGACTGCCGTACTGCTAGTGTTTAAAAATGGAATAGTACCGAAGCTACTAAGAGAGTGCTGACTGTGTGCTTTGTGTCAGCGGATCCCTATTAAAAGGGGATCTATAACAGAGCGTTAACCATCTGAGCTACCACGTCTCAAATTAGTAAGTCGAGTTGATCACATTAGACATTAGTATCACAAACTAAATTCTACTACCTCTCAGCATCTAGACAAAATCCGTGACAAGATAGACTCGCCAGAAGAAGCCAGTGAGGCGATTAGCACCCTATCCTAACCTCTACAATCGAGGAATTCTCTCATAGGGTTCGTGTGTCGAACAATCGACATTTGAAGTTTCCGAGTGATATTCGACGGCTGATTAGAGCGAAGAACGTGGCCCTAAGACAACACGATCACTATCGTACCAAAGATAACAAATTTCGACTGCACAACCACCAAAACGAGCTAAAACAGCGCATCAAAGAGTTTAGACATGATAAGTTGGATAATCTGCTGACGCACATTTAGCCATCACAAACTGTCTTGTGGCAGTTGACCCGAACTTTGTTTGCAAAACAATCCTCACACATGCCACCACTCATTGATCACATTAGACAAGTAATCACAGTAGACAGACATTGCATTGACCGTAAGATAAAGATGCGACTCGAGTACAATTTTGTGACTCGAATAACGCGGATTAATAATAATTTATCTGTCACTCCAGTTTTTGAGCTATTTGAATTAACTATATATATAGACCCTGCATCGATTGAAGTTTATCACTCGAGTTGAGAATAGCGTTTGGTTTAGTTAAAGCATTTTTAAATAGGTAACTTTATTAAAAATGTTAAATGTGGCAATATAAATTGGAAAACAAATATTTATTATTTATTTATTTGTAGTATTTCCATGCTTTTTTCATATTTGTAGTATTTCAAAATTTATAAACTGCTTTCTACATATATAATAAATCGCTTCCATGTCGATTTTTTTAAATAATGCCATACTGACGATTTTCGTTTTGTTGCTGCATCGTTATCACTCATACATTAAACAAACAAGTATATTTAAAGCACCTTCAAGCCAACCACCAAGTAACAAAAAATGAACAACAATGATAGCACAATCACAATATTAGACATCATAGTTTGATGTCTAATATTGTTCATATTTGTTTATAACATGCCAGATGCAAATTTGAATTTGGATGTAACCAGTGACGCGCCCGCGGCGTCTTGTACTATGTGAATTAGTTGATTAGATGACAGAATTAGTGAATTAGTAAACTGACATTTATCTATCTCTCTTCTAATCGAGTCTAATCGAGAGAGTCGAGTTGACTCGGTAACTCAAGTGCAAGTGGACTGGAGTAAAATTTATTTTCACTCAAGTGCCGAATTACACAAATTCACTCGATTCTGTAAGACTCTCACTTCTGTAAGAATAAAGTCTGTGGTTAATGTTTATATACTTTAAAATAATTTTTGGTGGCAAAATTAGTTAATAGCAAAAAAGTTTATACTTGTTTGTTTATAAGACAATACAATAAATATCGTATCATCGATGCACAAGTGTTTAACATAATATGGATATTATTATGCAGGTTAGTCAAATATTATTATTCGACATTATCTATTTTTCCTTTTTATTTTATTTTTTATGGTCGCATGGTAAAATTGCCAATGACATTCGAAACTGGAAAATGAAAACTAATGAGTTTAGTTATTTAATATAAGAGTATGTACGTAACACAAAAGTTTACTTTTACACCTAGAATTTTGGAAAATCTAAATAAGATCTATAATTTATGACGAATTACCTAAAACACAGGTCTTAGAACCTTATTAGTATGTTAAAAGTGAGCAAGTATTAAAGTTTTAATAATAATAATGTCCTCCATACCGAATTTCGGTCACGGCGGCCAGCCTCAACGGTAACTAGCCATCGGCGCGGGACACGTTTATAGTGTCCAAGGGTATGCGCAAGCATAGGTGAACTCTCTATTCCCGTACTCTCTTAGT